AAGCGGTTATTAGCAAAAATAATCGATTTCGAATAGAATACATTAGGAGCAGTTGTACGATAAAAAAATGTAATACAAATGCTGCAAAATATTTAATATCGTTTAGGCATGACAGTTAAGACGGAATTCGATAATCGCATAGACATTACGGTAAGGCTCATCGATAAATCGAGTGGCTGCAGATTGGTGAAGAAATTGCGATCGAGATTATCGTGAAAAAATTTGGAGAATAAAGCTGCGTACAGATGCGACGCATGGAAATTAAATGCATATAGAAAACATAAGTTATTACCATTGAGTATATGACTTCAAACTTATGTGTATGATAGCGTTGCAAACCGTTGCCAGCGTTGTGGTAGTCGAAAAACATGCGAATATCAGCGTGCAGGAGGTTCGCTCGACTGCTTGAACTGCTGCTTCGTGTGCATGTGCGTAAGATCATACCACCAATTTACTTAGCAGGCTGCAAGATTTCCGAGTACGTGCAGCTGATGAGTACATAGAAGATATCTCCAATGCGATAATCGTATAGCCACGGAAATATTAATGGATGATAATAGTCGTTGAGCCATTGCTTTGATAAGCGATTCGAAACATGATAATGCGATATGGCAAAATAAATGGTACGAACTCACCTTAATCATGAACGTCGTTCGTGGTTTCGAAAGAAGTAATAATAATTCCGTGAGTTACAAATGTCCTGCCGTGAATACAATATTCGTAATGTGATTCGATTAGCGATTAAGATAATTCCATTATTGTCATAATATCATGATTAATCATAATAATGGTTCTTTCACATTAATACGATAATGATAGCGATAATTGGATAATTCGAGAAATGGATTCATGCAGCGAGTTAATAAGTCATCAAAATGATAATAAGATAATACGATTTTTGTATGTGCATATTACCGCTGACGTGGGTTAGCTGCTTTCGTCCGATGAGAGAGTGCGTTGTCTGTGTTGTATATTGAATCTGATTCGATCAGCGAATTCATTAATTTTCCTGAGCTGCTTTGTCGCTGTATGGCGTCGGGATTTCCAGTTAGTGGTTCTGTTCGATTTGTTCTCGAAATTACCAACTGGTTGGTTATATTCGATTTGTCATCGGAATCGTCGAATTATTACTGGAAACGTCGGGCTTACCAGATGAGGTGTGTCGATGCATCTGCGTGTTCTTAAGCTCGATTTATAAATCACAAGATGAACTCCAAGTATCGTATACGTTTATTTGAGGCACACCACATAGCAAAGCGAAGAAGCGAATTGGAGAATCGAACAGGAGAAGGCTAGTGAGCCAACTCAAAGAGATAGAGCATGACTAAGAATATATAGTCAGACAATAATAAGACAGACATATGACAAGCGAAATAGGTATGCACACACATGAATAAAAGCGACGAATGATTGACAAGATCAAATGACAAGCGATACAAATCATGTGATTTCATGGGAATATTACGAGATTAACATTAAAGTGAAAAGGATGAGTAAGTGCGTAAGCGTGAGCAATGCTTAGTCGTACAAGCTCATACAAAGCAGATAATAAAAAATAACAAAGGTGCATATGAGTTATTGCTATACAAATGGCTTGGTTAAATAAACTAATCGAAAGGGCTTAACCAAGTTAGATGTAAGAGTACTGGAATATATGTGGAGGCACTACACAGTAACTGGAAATCCCGACGCCATGCAGCGACAAAGCAGCTATCGTACTTAATGCATTAGCTGAACGAATCAAGCATTATCTTATCGTCATTTTGATTATGTACCAACTCGTCGCATTAATATATTTCTCGAATTATCGCTATCATTATCGTATTAATGTGAAAGAACCATTATTATGATTAATCATGATATTATGACAATAATGGAATTATCTTAATCGCTAATCGAATCACATTACGAATATAGTAGTCATGGCAGGACATTTGTAACTCACGGAATTATTTTACTTCTTTCGACAACACGAACGACGTTTATGATTGAGGTGAGTTCGTTTCATTTATTTTGCCATATCGCATAAATATGTTTCGAATCGCTTATCAAAGCAACGGCTCAACGACAATTATTGTCCATTAATATTTCCGTGGCTATACGATTATCGCATTGGAGATATCCTCTATGTACTCATCAGCTGCACGTACTCGAAAATCTTGCAGCCTGCTAAGTAAATTGGTGGTATGATCTTACGCACATGCACACGAAGCAGCAGTTCAGGCAGTCGAGCGAACCTCCTGCACACTGATATTAGCATGTTTTTCGACTACCCCAACGCTGGCAACGGTTTGCAACGCTATCATAGACATAAGTTTGGAGTCATATACTCAATGGTAATAACTTATGTTCTCTATATGCATTTGATTTCCATGCATCGCATCTGTACGCAGCTTTATTCTCCAAATTTTCTACACGATAATCTCGATCGCAATTTCTTCACCCTATCTGCAGCCACTCGATTTATCGATAAGCCTTACCGTAATGTCTATGCGATTATCGAGTTCCGTCTTAACTGTCATGCCTAAACGATATTAAATATTTTGCAGCATTTGTATTGCATTTTTTTTATCGTACAACTGCTCCTAATTTGTTATATTCGAAATCGATTATTTTTGCTAATAACCGCTTACTACATATTTTTGATATTCTCTTACTATGCGAACTTACGAACGTACTCGGACAAGGTAACTAATTTTCGTACCTTTTGATGCATTCCGACTATTGAATTTTTTTCGCAAACATAGACACTTTCGTATCCTTGTTTGCTGGAAGGGGGCTATTGTAGTGCCTCCACATTTATTTGCATCCGCTTACATTTAATTTGCTTAAGCCCTTTCGATTAATTTATTTAACCAAGCCATTTGTATAGCAACAACTCATATGTACCATTGGTTTTTTTTATTATCTGGTTTGTATGAGGTTGTACGACTGAGCATTGCTTACGCTTACGCACTTACTCATCCTTTTCGCTTTAATGTTAATCTCGTAATATTCCCATGAAATCACATGATTTGTATCGCTTGTCATTTGATCTTGTCAATCATTCGTCGCTTTTATTCATGTGTGTGCATACCTATTTCGCTTGTCATATGTCTGTCTTAATCTTATCTGACTATATATTCTTAGTCATACTCTATCTCTTTGAGTTGGCTCACTAGCCTTCTCCAATTCGCTTCTTCAATTCGCTATGTGGTGTGCCTCGAATAAATGTATACGATACTTGGAGTTTATCTTCTGATTTATAAAACGAGCTTAAGAACACGCAGCCATCGGGCACACTACAACAGATTTAGATTGAGGTTATCACCCCACCGTCATCAATGCCGGCGAGACACCACACCCTCCCCACTCTTGCGATGTCAGGCTCGCTGATGTTTAATGGTGGATTTTAAATAATGTTTTTCAGTCTAAGCTCTATTTTTGTGCACCTGGTCAGAATTCACTTTCTCTACTACCCCCACGTTATAAGCAAACCAGACAAATTTGACTTCTGTATGTTGGACTAAATATCCACGTAGCATATCATGCTGCTAGTAAGTTGACTAATTGTGTAAATTGTAATATATGTGTCAGTTAATAGGCAGTTTGGGAATAGGAAGGATAGGTAGCTGATGATTGAGCATAAAGAAAAAGTGTTAAAACTAATGAGCAAGGAGATAAATAGATAAAAAAAAGCAGGGCGTTTGGATGTTAATGAATTCGGAAAATAAAAATTTATTACACTGTTAATACGTGAAAAAGAATGGAGTGACAATAATACAGGAAGTTTGAGTTCCTTGTAAATAACAGTAATTGAACAGTATCTACAGGCTTTTCAATTTATCTGTTTACTAGAAACGAAAACTAAAAGTTTTGTGAGAGATAAGAAGATAATGATGCAAATTTAAATTTTGAGAAATCTTCGAATGTTACAGGTTGCACCTCAAAGGTATGACGTTCTACTGTTAATAGGAGTGGGTGGATTCGTCCACCATTTCATGAAACCTGTGTGAATGGTGATGGGGGTGCAATACATTCATAGTCAGTTATTAGTTACTTGGTTTAGGCTAAATACATAAGATGTCCGATTTTAATCGTATTTGTTATTGATAACGAGGAAAAGGCCATTTAAATGACTACGTTTTCCGGTATCATTCTCCGTCAAGGCCTAACCACCATAAATTTTATAATTCCAAGGATTTTTCATAGATGTCTAATCATAATTTTAACTCTATAGAACTTCAACACGTTAAGGAGCATTTTTATATTTAGTAGTCATTTGGCGTACTCGAAGCAAATTGGAGCTCAGAGCTTGCGCTCTTCTTTACCTTTCTGGAGATGACTGACCTGTTATTATGATCAGCTTTTGGTTTCGGAGCTACTGCTGTAAATTCTGGCATTTCTTTAGCGATATTTGATTATGCTATCTAATATGACTTTTGACAGTGCTCATGATTGTGATAGCAAATTCTTTGCATCCGAACAGCTTTGATGGTGCGACCAAATACATCCGTTTAATCGAACAGTTTGAAAGCTGCCGATATTAGATTTGTGCAGATTTCACGATTATTAACCATTTGCGTTCAACAAAATGCATAAGAAAATCACTGAAATTCTTTCATACACGGTGAAAAACAAAATTTTTGATGTTCAAGTCTAATGGAGGAAAATACCTCTGTCAATTTTAAAGGCACGCGGATTACTGCCGATATCATTACAATGCTTGGAATCTTACCATAACAGAAGGAGGCAAATGCGAATAAATCGTTTGATTTATACTTTTTCATCATACAGATTTTAAATTTTCTCGTAACAAACTCAAATCACGGAACATATAAATACATAAATAACGGCCAACTAACTAGAATTACTGCAGTCGACTATCCTGACTGCCATCCACTCAACACCACCAAATAACTGGATCCTTACCGGAAGATAAAAAATCGAGAGCTAATAAATCAATTAGTTTATACCATCTTGCACAAAATATATTGGATATTGGATTGCTGTTGTTGTTTGACTGTATAACGGTTTTCTGTTACACGTTATCGTATAACTAACGAATATGGAGGAATTACGGAATCAGCGTCTCTTGGAAAATCTTGATTTACTAAAAAGTCTTGCAAGTATGTAATTAAAATTGAACAAATTTGAGCTTTATGAAGATGTATGTGACGATGACATGGAGAAGATCAAAAGAATGTATGGGATCAAAATGGTACGTTCAACCATTATCCAAACTAATTACAAAGTAATTAGTGTTAAAAGCCGTTTTGACCAATAGGTTTACAATAATATCACTCAGTTAGGTTGAAGTCCACTATCTGTGCAGTTTCCCCTGAAGTCTCTCTTTTCTAATTGCTGTAGCAGTACTTTCTAAAACATATTCAGTTATTTATATACTCTGAAGTTGGAAACCAATGTGCGTGCACTTGTTTTTAAATGCTTGGCTTATAGTCTTCTAATGCACATTGCTGACGTCAGTTAATCTCGATAAGAGGGTACCAAAATAGTTGTTTGGTTAATCTCAAATACATTCGTCGTCTATGTCATCTCAGTCAGTAACGGGATAAACTGGGTCAAATAGGAGATGGTTTTGAAAACGTATGTATATCTTGATACGTTTGTTAATGCATGTAGACAGTAGCGGTCTCGACTAGTAATAGATAAAATGAGTCCACCCAGTGTGTAGTGTTCTAGTCTTTATATAGAATCAATGGTTTATATATAAATTAGCGATAATCCTTTAGATTTTGGACCGAATATCTTTTTTCACGAGCTGGTATAAACAAATCGATTTATTGTTCTTTTAGAACGGTTTCATATTTTCGGCAATAGATGATAAGTACATATTAATTAGCACATGATGTTGTTAACGAAGTCACTGAACACTCAATACAGAGGTACGTCCCTAAAATCCCAAACAACTTCAGGATGGCGCGTTTAATGGTCAGGTAAAAACATAGCAAAGATGAATATGCTGTGGGCTGCTTTGGATTTATATCTGTCTACTTGAGTGTTCAATGTGCACAATATGAGAACTTAAATGTTCACAAGCCTCATGCTGTCAATTCCTGTAATAACAAACAAGACATCGACAAAAGTATTAGTTCTCTTATTGATAAATTGCTCATGTTGATTGCTTTTTCAATGAATCAGAACTAAAAAACTGCAGTTCATTCGCCTTTTAACAAAATGAGTTCTTTTAGTTTGAAAAAACAGTATGGGATGCTTAGAAAGGCATTACGCACAATCTTATACATGATTGTCAAGATATTATTATGTTCCTGGCTTCACGGAAAACATTTAGACTTCATATTTGATTTTCACTCTCTAAAGTGACGTTTAGAATGGTTATATTCTTCGTTTTATTGAGCACTTATTATGAATAGCGTGGGCTTCCCATATAAGATCCTGTGCATTTCCTTTAGCTTGTAGTTAATCAGGTGAAATCAAAATAAAATCAATACAAATATAATTGCATAAAGAGGCAACACTGTTAACTGTCACTGTAGATAAAAACAAGAAGTTGATTAGAAACACGACGTTATCTGGTGTTAGTCAACTGAGAAAGTGTATTTGCACGAAAGAGTGAAGATTAGATTTTTGAACAAAACGTTTTACAGTCAAGAATAAAAATCTTCACACTGAAAGTTTTAGAAGGTAGAAATATTGACGAAATCTATTATGATTTCTTTACTTTGACCATTTAACGCAGCTACTCTCCACAGAGCGCCTGCAGTAGGAAGCGTTTTAGTACAAAAATTGCTTAACTCTTTTTAACTTAACATCAAAAATAGCTTGACATCGCTAGATTTAATCTGTCTCAAATTGCATAATGTCATTTCATTACTATTTGCAATTCGAAGCTAACGTTTCTAGTATATTGCATCCACTTAAAGAATTATGCAACATGGATGTTTGAGATGTTAAGCATACTACTTAATTTATGTAAATGATCTTTAAAAATCTGTATTGTAGGTAGTTTATAAATTCAGATAAATTTATTCAATCAAAAATATGAAATACGTGTTAAGTATCTAACATTATCGATGATGCGCCTTTTTAGTAATTAAAAATAGTGCTTCATCCGTCACAACCTTGTGCACACCAAATACCATTTTATTTTCAATGGTGTTTTAGTGTTAAAAGCCAGTGATTAATTGGTCTTCAGTTAGTTGACCACCATTTTTTGGAATTCGAAGCATCCTCACACTTCAATAACAGATTAAAAAAAGCTAGCAAATAATAGAGAAATCATGAGCTGTAAGAAATACTAACAGTAAACCATGTTATTATTATTCACTATTTCCTATTTTAAATGCCTTTATTTGTTATCTGAACTATAGTCAAAATCCAATGTTCCGAGATGTCAGAGAATCCGCGCAACATCATCAAAATGTATCCAGACTAAGAATGTGCCTAAAACGTTACCATGCCGTCATTCGAAAGTACCAACATTGTTAAATGAGCTTCTATTCTGTAAATAGAAAAGGCAAAAAGTAAAGGTCTCATTATCTTCAAACAGCGACAGTGATTGGATGAGCAGTGGGGATGAGTGGATTCCGGATTTGCCCAAACCATTTGTTACAAGCACGCCAACTCATAAATCATCTCATGAAAAAATGACGAAAAAAGCATCAGAATGTAGTAGCAAAATTGCCACACTGATGGAAGTTTCGAATTCCGAAGAAGGTACGTTTTAAGCTATAAACTGACCAGTTTGCAGGGAGACGATATCCCAAACGGGAGAAAGAAAGGCGAAACTACAAATTTGATGTGGTGATTCCTGAAGATGATAGGTACCTGTGTAAGTTGCTTTTTTACTGCCAATAACGAACGTGGTTGGAAATTTCTTTGAATTCAAAGATAGAGAGTGAGAGAAATTTGAAATATCGTTTTAACTCTTCATAGATGATAGTTACAGGCTTTAAATCATCTGAGTTATGATTAAATTTTTTGTACTTCACAACTTAAGATGTTTCTACATAGTCTCTCCTATCATATTATTCATAAGATTTGATAAAAACATGAATGAGGTTCATAGTTTGAGTAAAGCGGGATAAATGTGCAGTACACAAACATCCAAAATTCTTATCAAATTCTATTTCTGGACAGCATAGAACTGCTTTCGTTCTTGCTTATGGAATGTCAATAGAAACTTTGATGTTACGGGTTTCATTCTTGAACACGATAAATAACGATAACATTGAAATTTTGTAATTTTTGCTATTTCCTTAGAATCAACTCTTTTATTTTTATTCAGACTGTTACACTTGTAAACGTTCTGTCATTGATGGATGTTTCGATCATCCTATTATTTGGATCGACAATACACCATCAGATGTTTGCGAAGAAGTCAAAGACAAGTACATTTACTGCCAAACATCCAAATGCGTTTGTGGAGAGCCGTTTTATAAACATGCAGCTAAAACCGCTCCAAAAGGACTGATCACAATTAGCAAGTCTAGAATTCACGGAGCAGGGTTGGGTGCATATGCAAATGCTAACATACAGTGCGGAACTATTTTTGGACATTACGAAGGACAGATAGTGTATTTACATGAAATGGATAATGAGGAACGGGTCAGGGTATGTCTTTTGGTCTTCAGTGTCCATGATCTTAGTCTTAATAGAATCCCTGTTAATATTTATGGATGGTTTTATCGACTCGCTAGTATATGTTTCCTTTCAATATTTTTATTATTTCTAGAGGTCGCGTGGTGGATATGCATGGCTCGTAAGAGCTAATAATAATGGCGTCAGTGCTCATCTGGTGGATGCTCGAAATCCTCTGAATTCAAATTGGTTAAGAGTGAGTCGTATTTTGGCGAGGTTCTAAACTCAGAGTCGAATTAATAATTTTCATTCAACAGTTTGTGCATAAATATCTTTTAAATAAATTTGTATGCTATTTTCCCGGTAGAAAATGAACTATGAATACTTAAAGAGTGGTAAATATTTTTGTACTATTGAACTGATCTTATACTGTGAGTGTTTTTGCAAAATGACATTTACTGAACTTCTCGAGTTGTAAGATGTTTGGACCATTATCCGTTGCACTTATTATGTAATCATTTCGTAATACGTATAGGAAATATCACAAGTTGGTTTACTCTTAGCTATAATTTAAACTTACTGAAATGAGGATTGGAAGAATATATAGGCATTATGAAAGCTTCGTATTATGACCGATATTGTTTATCATATATCGTATCCTGCTTTTCTTAGATTGTCAGCAATAAGATAAGGTAATATTCAATAATGAAATTAAGCAGTCACATGTCTTATTCTGCAACATAAACACTGTCTCAATTACTATAATAACTATGAGAAAATCAATTTAGCTGTCTATGATAAACATTGATTATCTAGTGGTTATTTCACGATCAAAATTCTGACTGAAACATATTTTTATTCACTCGTTTATTTAGTTTGTTAATTGTGCCCGATTCGAAGAAGAGCAAAATCTTGTTACAGTGCAGTATAGAGGAAAAATCTACTATAGAGCATGCAAAGTATGCGGTTATTCTTGTTCGCTATCTCTTGTCTAGGACATTTCAAGATTCGAAGAACTTCTTACGTATTATGGAGAGGAGGTATGTTTTTACTTTATAGACTGATTTGTAGAAACTCTTCCAAATAAGACAACAGAGTGGGATACCTATGCATTATGAAAGTTGCTCCT